CACGACCCCCACACACATAAACGGAGAATAGACATCTCTGTCAATCTGAAAACCTTTCGACAAGTTCTAACAGCTTGTCATCTTCCGCCGACTATTGCGGTTTAAAAGTTGCCGGGTTGTGGCCAAAGAACGAATTTCCAGGTTCAAATCTTTGTGAGTTCAGAATTTTAATTGTGTCACGACGTAGTGGTATCAGGTGCTTATCAATTTTTGGGTGTATGGGGATATTGGTATAATCTTAAAGCCTGTTCGTTTTTCCTTGCATTTGATGAAAATAATATATTATTTACCTTGAATAGAAGTCGAGGTGTTTGCGATTGAAGGGGGGTGGGGTCGCCTGATTTGAGAAGTAAAATTAGCGAGAAAATGTGTTGCGTGACTTCAATAGCTCAAGAGTCTTTGGACACTGTCAAATTTACAATTCTCATTCGGCCGAAAAATGCCGATTTCTACAATTCCATTGTTTTGACGAGAGCCTGATTTTACCACGCTGCCTCACTTATTATCAATGGTAATTCCAGAAGGAGGTTTCCTCTAAGCTGGGGATGGATGGGTGCCGTCTTCGAAATGATCAACCTTTTTTCTGTTTTTAAAAAAATTGTTTATTTGCTTTTTATTTCTTTGTTTAATAGGCTGCTAAACTTCACTGTTTTACTTTTTTCCTTCCAGCCTGCAGACGAGGGTCAGAGCGATGTCCCACCACCATGCCCTCTGTTCACATCACGCCGTAGCTCCGCCCTCCGTCGTGTGGCCCGCCTATTGGACAATGGCTCAGTGGTGGGCGTGCCCACAGACACAGTGTACGCGCTCGGGGCTTCCTGTAAACACCCTGCCTCCATCAAAAGGATCTATATGGTGAAAGTACGTCAAACTCAAACTAAATTCCCCCGTAAATAGTAAACAGTTATTACAAAACCAAACCGAAAAAAGGGGGAAAGAAAAGAAAGTTATTAAGCTCACATAAACAATACACTCCATGAGTTCACTTCCATTGGTCTCATTGTCAAAAATCAAAAGCCCAGTGTTGAGAGGATCGCTTTCACATCTCATTAAAAAAAAGCAAATGAATGTATCCGCTACTATAAATATAATAATACAGTCTTCCTTTGTTATCTCATCAATAATAATATTGTTGACATCTGGCAGCTGCAATAGATCTAGAATGATTTTGAGTTTGAGGAACGCGAGAGAAATAAAATGTAATAATCAAATTTGACAATCAGATCTCCCCATGAACCTGCTTGTAACTGTATATTCTTCTGCTTATCCCTACTTTCATTTAAATGTTTTTTCTTTCCTTTCTCGATTCATTCTTTCATGGAGCATGTGTTTGTTTACTTTTTTAAAGATACTGTCGGACCTGCTCTAACAGTTACCTGTCTAAGACAATAACCTGTCCAAAGGATCAGTTACCATCCTACCATTTGCATTGTTTTTAGACATATTAATGAAACGGTCCAAGGCATCCACCTGTCTAAGATAACTACTGTTCACCCTTACAGTGGATGGCCGTCTTGAACAATTTCGACTGATATCTATGTATACTTTAACTCGTCAGTTTGTTCTTATTATTTTCTAAAATCTAGCTATTTATCTACTCTTTCTTTTGTTTCTATCTTCGTTTAGCTTGTGACGTTGGTGGTCTAGTGGTTAGGGTACCGGACTCGTAATCGTGAGGTTGCGGGTTCGGGGTTCAAGCCGCAGGCCCGACGTTGTGTCCTTGGGAAAGGCATTTTACACGAATTTTCCCCACTTCACCCAGGTGGGAATGGGTACCCAGCTATATACAGTGAAA